GTTATACGTATAGCATTTTGTTGATGGATATTGCTCAGCGATGTATTTCAATATTGCTTTTTCTACGGAATTTATATTTAAACAGTTGCGAGACAGATGGATACTAACTGACAACGCCTTTTTAGTTTATTGCAGGTAGGCAACGCGAGTGAGAGCACTGCAGACGTCAGTGGAATTTTCGGTGAAGTAATACTGGGAAGGCGTTTCTTTAGCTGGGAGGAATTTGAGAATTCATTAGTAGAATTTCAAAAAGTGAGGAAGTCATTTAATGCTGACACTGTAGTTGTCCTGCACTCACTATGTGCATATTCAAAGCAAAACAACAGGGGACGACAGATTTAAGTACGCTTACGTTGCTTTTAAATGCACTTTTGCCGTGAGTAGGAGTCGATGATTGCTCGATCGCGTTGCTTCAAGTATTCATATTCCAAACGTCTAATACCAATTTTACGCCTACTGACGCCACACGCTGCGAGGAAGGTGATCGCTGATTATGAAAAGCGACAATGGACTTCTTTTCAGTTTGAAGCTTTTGATTTTATCTACTTGGAAGACAATGGGAGGCAAGTAGAGGTGGATCTGCGTGCATGCAAATGCACTTGTATGACGTTCCAGACTTGTCGGTGTCCCTGCAGACACTTGTTGGTGATATTTCAGAAAGGCGTGTTTCACAGGTAAATTAGATTACTTTTGAAAGTTGTGTGTTTATTTACACGTAAGAATTACTATGTTGCCACCTGAAGTATTTCCTATTTTATGTCTCGATTGGTGATGCATATCAACCTGCTCTTAACTGACTGAAAATCGTAGGTACTGAAATTTATTTAATAAATAAATAACTTTATTCTCATAGTACAGTACACGAGGGACGCCAGTTTACAGGTATCATCAAATTGTTACAGAAATAGAACCATATAATTCAATCACAATTTACAGGCAGTAGCAAGATATGCTTTACATGTACGCTGGAGATCACACATACACTTGATAAATGTTAATCCCAGTAGTACAAAACAGCATTTTCACTTATATACAATCATTTCTGTGCAAAGTTGGAAAAATCTGCTAGATTGTCAGTGAGTGCAACACAACAGGAAATACAGGAGTATTGTCTTCGCATTAACAAAAAAACCAGGTCTTTGGTGGATGGATTATAAGTGCCTGGGAAAAAAATAAAGCTTGAAGTCAATATTCATACATAACTTCGTTGTGTGCAGAGTCCTCGAATTATAGTTCATTGATGTGTTATTTTGAAATCAGTGATATGTTTATCTCATTTGATCTGCAATGTCATCGTTGAGAGTAAATACATAAGCTTCAGACGCATTAATTAATGGATTTCTGCTGCTTATGGGTATTTTCTTAGCGTGAGGAAGGTTTATGAATTTCAGCTGTTCCGACAGGAGTTGAGAATATTAACTGCTCAGCAACATTATGGATATAAGTTCATCACATTATCTAAGGAAAGGTGGTTTGTAGTTGGTGAGGGATATATGGTGCCCAACGAGCGTACATCTGTCCATGTGACGTTGTGGTGAGTTATACCTTTTTCATGTTGTCGGTTTATGTCCATTTTATTCCACTTATTGTGTTGGGTAGAAGTTTAACAAACGAAATTTCTTGTCTGTTTGAGGGTACGTATCTTAACCGTTAATGTTTTATCTAGAATTATAAATACAGGCAAAAAACAACAGGCGTAGTATTTAAGCTTATACATTAAATAGAGCTACAATTTTTGAGGCTCTCGGATAGGAACTAGAACTACTATCGTTTGCAAACTCTTGTAGTTTGCCATTAAGCACCCTTTCGAAGGAGGCCGATGTATTTGCTTGACGCATTTCCATTGGTAGTTTATTCCATATCTGTGCATACCTGATTAGGTAAAACTTTTGCCTTGTGGCTGTTTTACATTGTTCGATAGCTACTGTACCCTTAGTGTGTCTTAGTTTGTAGCCATTGTCATCTGAAAGTCGAGTGCCAGTAATAGAGGTAAAAACTGAGTGGTTTAGAAGCTTATAGTAAAGTGTTAAGTTTAGTCTCGGGCGTCTTAGCCATAGTGTTTCTAGTCCTAGGGTATTACATCTAGTGGAGTAGTTCGCACCATTTTCGGTTCCGAGTAATTTTAACGTGAAGTACCTCTGCACTCCCTCGACTTTAAATTTCTCTTCTTTTCGTATACTACTATACGTGGATGAACAGTAATCAAATAAAGGACGTATACAAACCTTGTATAACAGAATTCTAGACTCATAAGCGTTTGTCTGTACTGAAAACAGGACATAAGCACTGCCATTATTTATCCTGTAATATTGTGTGGATAGTTCTATTTTTATTGACTCTTCCACCTTTTGTAGTTAATCATGTGCTGCATAAGTGTCAACGATCGAAATGGTCTCGCGACTCGTGCGCATCTCAAAGCGGGAGAAGTAATCGCACAAATGCACCATTTTCTTAATATGTAAACAAACTAATGTTGTCTTATAATAAATATGAACTTTTCATATAAATCTTATTGTCTTTCAATTCACGTGTTCGCTTTGCGAGCACGGCATGATAGACCGGTGCTCCCTAGGGCTTGAACTCGTTACTACACTTTAGTGTAATTCTGTAGGAACACTATCGACCGATATACGTAGTGAATTATAAGTAGTTTAGTGGACCTTAAGTCTCTGTCTACAGTTACGTGGAAACGTCTCATAGCCATATGCAAGTCTGTAGAGAACAATGACAACAATAGGTAGAACTTAGGCACTGCATTGCAGTTCCAGATCGAATACGGTTAGATGTATTCCAAATCAGTGTATTACTAATATTTAAATTGAAGCGTTATGGCAGTCCCTATGATAACGGGTGTTAACGTATACTGTAAAATTAAGTTTACACATGACGAATAAATAAGTAGATTAAGCTGTAGCAGTCATAGTAACATTTTGCTTACGTTTAATTATGCAGTCAAATAAATCATCAAGTATCATTGATAAGTCTGACATCTGCATCGTCATGCAAAAAACTTAGTTTCACTCAGATACAATAAGAAAATTATTGTAAGCAGGATGGTAAATCTATTTAATGAAAAAAATGAGCAAATGTCTTTACACAATTGTTTTTCGTAATTATTTCGCCCATGTTGAATTGCTGTGATCAAGCTGACTGACATTACCGGATATCTGTAAATCAGTGAACAAAGTGTATGTTTTTAAATCGCTGAAGTAAGGAAGAAGTAATATTAAAGTTAAACGCCTTATATTTGCATACATTTGCTGAAAAAGGTTCATTTTCCTTCTTCATTCTTTGGTGATGACAGCATTCTTCTGCAGTTTTCAATGTCACACAGAGATTGTTCGTCTTATACAGTATAGCAGCAAGTAAATAATAGTAATTTAGTATGCCTTATAAACGGGTATTTACAAGGAATGCATTTAATTTCTACAGGCACAATAAGTTATGTAATGAATTACAATCCTCAAGTATCATAAAATAATACTTTTTCAAAAGTTTAAGTCCTTCAATTAGTGTATGAGTAATAAGAACAGGTTATGATAAGTGTCAACTTGTAAACCATACACAATGAACACTGTACAGAAAACTTCATCACATCTCCATTTTAACCAACTTTTCCTTCACGCACAGAAGCATGCAGTCACTACATACCCTCAAGCATTGTAACCTAAACATCACAAAATCCCTACAGATAACTTCTTTCATAATAAATGATTTAAACATATGAGCCATAAGTGCATCTTCCATATCCTTCATAGCCACAAGTAATTCATTAAGGATCTCAGAATATCTTAGTGATCTGAACACGAACAATAGTTAAGACTGGGATAACTTATGTAACAGGTGCAGTAGTTGTAGGACACACCTGCTAGCTACTAATCGACAGAAAGTTGACACTAATTTTAAGTAGTTTGACATTTCAGGAGGACCATCTACACTATTATTCGTAACCCGATGCACATTGATATAAACATAATCTGATGCCATTTTTGACAATGAACAATTAAGGCCTTCTGACATTCCAAGTGCAAATGTCAATTAAACTAGTATCATATCTTCGCCTAAGCAATTTTAAATGGTTTTCTGTGCTCGGCTGATATCAGTACATCAACACGAAATCAATTTTAAATGGGAAATATAATCACCAGGAAATGCAGCAGCCTGTCTCATTCATCGCATGATCTCTTCCATGTGTTATGGAATATTTCAGTCATCACAGATGATAAAAGAAGTGTCTAAAATCCTCAAAACACACATCTAACTTATATCTGTAGGCTATTTCTCTTTCAAATGCACGATTCTCATAGAATAACTGCGATGGCAACAGCCATTGCCTGCAGTCAATTTACAACCTTAAGATCTAAAACAAATCACAAAAAGTAATGCCTCAATGCTCTAAAAAGCAAATAATAGTCTTTTTTATGCGAAATTTCTTCAAAAGGATGATTTTTTTATTAATAATTCGTCTAGGCTATCATGACAATTTTACGCATTGCTACGAACGCAATGCAGAAAAATGTTGCTTTTTTCCGCTACAAAAGCCTAAAACTAGTCAAATAAAATCTATTTTCACAAAACTGAGCGGTTAGAACGTCTCTATAGGTGTGAATGCGATAACCCATACAATGCGCGAAAACACATCGTCGTAGAATTTAGCCTCACTAGAATTACCAGCTTGGACATAAATCAGTTTCCCACATTTCTTCATATCTACACGAGTCCTTCCTAGTAGCTGGGAGACTAGTCACGTTTAAGTGAAACCAGTAGCAACATAGCGACAAGCGTCATTGAGGGGATATGCAATAAAGTCTCTCTAAACTGGTGTTTGTTTTCCATGTGTAGCCAAGTTGTACAAATGCAGCTGAGTAACTGCTTCCGAAATTTGATCTCTCCATAATTTTATGTATTTGAACAGTCTCACTACATGTAAGATATTTTAAGGTATGAAAGACGTTTCTACGTTACCTGTTATCTCTACCAGAAAAGTTTAAATACTTTGATATATCTGAGTGGTCAAGGTCACGTTGAACTCTGCGTGTCTTTCCTCTGTAAAGTTTGATAGGTTATTAATTTTTTTTAACGCGTGGTTTGTTTCCGCGTAAAATTTTTTCCTCATGGACACCAAAGTTGAATGACGTTTGTTGTATATTCTTCGCTGTTGCCAAGCCCAAATGAAGGATGACTAGCACTAATTCAGTATTCGCAAACATATTTTTTCGCTCTTCAAGCACTAGTTCCACACTTACTGCATTTCCAAAGTAACGGGCATATCCAACACACTATATAACTACTGCCGGCATAATTACAAATGTTAAGCAGAGCTAATTACTATTTACGGTATCATACTTTCGAAATTCATTGAGTTTACTAGTTCCTTATTTGGAATATTTTGTGTGAAAATAGATAATAAAATTCTACTGTAAATCAGTCAAGGTCCACGGCCAGCATCCTGCAAATAAATAAAATTTAAGATTAGTTAAGGTATATATGTGCTCATAAAATTTTTAAGTTACATTTAGAAAGGTGAACTTACATAATTACCACTGTCCCCTCCTAAGTTGTTTCTTTGAGTTGCCTAAGAAAAACTGCTATTACATAGAATAATAATTATCATTACATAAAAATATTGTTCTTTCACATTGGTATTCTTTTTCCCACACACTTCTATTTATTATTCTCTCTTTTGAACGTCTCGTTACCCTCCCTGGCTTGGTGTGCTTTATAGGGTGTGACAACTCAAACTGCTGCACTTCTGTATAGAGTTCTATGTTGAAACTAGTCGATCATTATTATTACATGTTGAATAAACCATAGTTTAGAATTAAGTAGGTGTTTCGTAATATTCCCCGACTTCCTTACTTCTCCATACGCCTCTGGGCGTGACCTTTCAAGTTTCGAAAGTAACACTTGGTGGTTTTTCCATCAAAGCTCCAATCTCCTTTGCCTACATGAGTTTGCTAGGGAACTCCACTTTAATTACGGCTATATGAATAATTTTTTCACAAATGAAATGTGCATCGGATTATCTTATGGAAAGTATAAGGCACAATACTGGACTTAGTCATAGTCCTCTGACTTGTAAACTTCAAGCCCATTTCAGGTTTCTAAACATTGTGCATCATAACTTCTAAAGCTAACCGTCTCCGCTATGGAGAGTGATGATTAATTAAGTGAGCTCACTAATATCTCCTTATAATTATAGTTTCTTAAAGATGCTTCTAACATCTGCAAGTGTCAACTGGGATGCCCAGTGTGTAGTCGTCGTCGGCTGAATGGTTTGTTTACCATCAAGACTTGCTGTTGCTACTCACAATGTTTAAGATCTTCATTGGCAGTTTGACGAGTTCCATTGTCACATCTTGAAATTAATGACTAATTTTAGGTACTTACCTAGCACTTTCTTATTAAGAGTCCGTGACTCATTGTCAGCCTCGTTAGAAGGTAATCTAAATGTCACAGTTACTGTAACTGGCTGGAAACCATTTTCGGTTTTGTGCCAGTAGGAGAGAAAGAATTGAAGTTGGGGGCGTTCAAAGTACTGAAAATGAATGACATCTAATTATACTGACACTTTGGAATCAGTTTGATGAAGTCATCTACTAGATTCATATCTCGATATTGCAGTTCAATGCAACCGACTTCGTTGACAGCTTATTTGACATCACTAGTTATGAAGAAACTCCTTATCGTTCTTCTTACCACCCACCGATATTCAGTCTGGCCACTGTCGGCAGTGTTAGGAAATGTATATTATGCATCAGACTTCTAGTACTACGTTAAAATAATCGCGTTGTCTTCCCCAAAGCTCTTTATATTGGATCTGTGTTTCAGAGTCCAACATAATTTGGTGGTCGTAGTATGCAAAACTGAACGGATATTTGCTAATATTTAGCATGAATTGAATGGATATTTCAAGGAGGAAAACTACTGCTGTCTTCTAGAAATGCAGTGGTTGAAATTGGCGGGATTATTCATTGTTTTCTAGTTAGTAAACAATTTTGCAACATTAATGACCTTTTATATGCGTTGGTCGCTGTGCTCGCTTTAAACTCGTTTACGAACCAGATTTGCCTTCATATATGTTGTTTAATATATATTTTTCTCTTGCATCTATTTTTGATTTTCCACTTCTCGTTTTCCATCCGATAGTGAAGAACAAATGCTACAGGATACACTTTCAATTATTTGTATATCCTTTTTTACGGCATTTTTGGGAGAAGGTATGCGCTGCTTGTCATAGAGTATTTACTGAAATGTTTGTTTTTAGGCTTGACTTGGCTTTTTGTATACAGGACTGAAAAGTACCAGAAGTTAAAGGCTGAAGTAGACAAACAATCAAAACGTTGTAAGTAGCTTATTCAGATATCTAATGTGACTTCTAAGTGGAAAAGCAACGGGATGTTACGGAGTCAGCTATTGATCGTACAGCTAAAAAGCGTTTAGGTAGGTTTCTTTTTTTCACTTGTATTTTTCGATATTTTGTAGAAAAACAAGAAGAACGATTCAAAAACATTAATCGAGAGTTGTCCTTAGTAAGTAATATCAGTCAGTAATATCTTTCCCAAAGGTTAAAATGAAATCTATGTTCGCAGTTGGACTTATATTCACTTCATTATTCAATGTATTTAGTAGTCTGTAAGTCTACAGTGTTTTACAGATGATAACTTTAATGTATAAAGCCAAATAAATTTTGTGATAATCCTATAGTACTGATGTAACTGTGGATGAGTGTATTGCGTTCTACATCTCGAAAAGTTCTCTAGCCTCGTGTTTATAGCTTGTTCCCATTCATCACCTTCACACGGTGTTGTCACCACTACGGTAAATCTCAGGGGCAGGATAGGGAGTCGAAGTCGAAAAACTGGTTCCAAACCAATTATGTACACTTGTTCCATCATCTGAAAAGAATGATTTATATATAAACCTGGTTTGATCACCCGTAATCATTATGATGCTACTCCTGACTTTTGTCTACTATCCTGTGGTTTGTACCACAAGCTAAAAGCTCCTGAGACAACCTTCTCTCTTTGTTTGAACACCAGAGCCGTATATCATCCTTTGTACAGTGGGAGGAGCAATATTTGACTGTGAGCTTCAACTCAGTTTAATGCATCTGCAACCAAACACTTCAACTCCATCGCACACTTCATTATTAACTTTTCAGTCTGCTGTCATTTTACTGTTTAAGTCATTCTCTTATACAGGCCGCTTTGCTTATATTGCTTTCGCACTTTTGTTTCACTCAGCTACTTGTCATTGCTTGAAATCCTTGCCTAATTGTACCTATCTATCTGTAATATTAGGCAAAGCTGTTTGAAAGACACCTCAACTGACACATAGTCCCAACATACTCTACTCTAAAGCATACCAATCGTAGTCTGGCCGTCGAAAATCGCGTTGGCTGTTCCCTTGAATACGTACAGTTCTGTCCTACACCTGTGAAGGCTTGTATCCAAACCAAAGATGTCTAGTGTTTCCGTATGTTTCGATAATCTAATCACTATTTTCGTAGGATTTCTTGCATCTGCCGGTGATATCATGCAAAGTATTTTTCAAATGCAAAAGGTCCAGTCTAAATTGTCATCTTGGAATAATAACTTTGGTTGCTTGAAAGTGTACTGCGAAATCGCCCTAGTGGCTTGCAAATCGTTTACTGTTTGTAAGCACAAGGATTTGTCATATAAGGCTAGGTGTGGTCAGTCCATAAAATGGTGCAATGGGGGTAAACAACTATTGAGTAACATCTGTTTGCAAGTCAAAATTGCAAGAGATTATGCGATACAGTGACACCTTAAGCCACTAGATATGTTTAAGAATCAGATTTGGACAAAACAATGGGAAGATATGTTTGTGAAACACGTGTCGAGCATTTTTGTCACACATTTACTTGCCAAATACACTTATATGAATGTTAATAGGTTAAAGGATCATAAGTAAATTCAGTTGGTCCAAATCACAGGTGAACACAAACAAGTTAACATATAAGTAACTCTTGGTCTTAAAATTAAATTAAAGTGGCGAGTTTTCAACACAAAATAGATCTAAACCTTCCGTGGTAATGCTATATATAAAAATATACATATATATGTGTTAAATAGGTGTTAGCATTAGGTAAGGTCAGCTTTGTATTTCCCAGATGAACTGATATGATTTGTTATGGAAAATACACATTAGATCATAGGAAGAATTAAAAAGTTAGTTGGAGCAATTTTAATATATGCCCTGTTGTTCTGATATACGTAGAACAATGGGTCCTCCTTATATATATGTCACCACACGTATATACACGGTAACAAAAGTAGTAAAACGTAATTTCATCGTCCAAATGCTGTGGACTCTGCAGTAAATACTAAGTTTCGTCTCCTCTGGAATTATGATTTCTTCTGTACATGTTCGACAAATTGCAGCTTTGTTTGATAGTTGGGATTTGAAAATCACTCTTGGGTGTTAAAGTAATATATATATATATATATATATATATATGCATATATACGCATCTTACCAACTGTTTGAGATTCTGGTTTTTTAGGTTCAATGCATGTATAATGCTTAATCAACTTCAAATAGTAATTTTCTAAAGTTTGTTTTGTAAGGGTTTGTTATGTTTTACGAGTTGATCACGGACTGATATCAATTAGAGAACCATTGAAAACCAGGGAGTACTGGAAAGCTGCTGTTTCATCCTAGTTTGGGAATCATCGGCAGTACGCACCCACTGGGATTCGAACCCAGGACCTTCCGGTTACAAATAAAGCTCGTATAACATTCAGCCACTGGGACCCGATTCAATGGCTCATGAATTCTAACTTCAAATAGTAATGGTTATCCAATCGCAGTTTTCGTTTCTGCATCTATGTGGTGAGAGCTGACTGCTAGCCAAAGTTATTAGACAGTAATTGACGTCAATGTTTGTGTCCCCAATATTGGTGGTGAGAAAATGAGAACAAAGGCGTTATGTAGGCGGATACAGTTAGCATATAGATGATCTGACACATCCACAAAGAGATGCAAGGTTAACTTTCTGTGAGAAACAACCAATCAAAAGACTGTATTTTCTGCTAACAATAATCTACAATGATGTACATTAAAATCTATAAATATGTGTTGATTTTCCTTAATAAACGATCTGTGGCCTGGCCCTTGTCTTCTGTTGTTACATCTATACTATTTTTTGTACCTCCAGCCAAACAAATAGGTAACTAGTGTCCTTTACTTCTAGAGTAGACAGGGACTTTAGCAATTTAAGTACTATCTCGTTCACTCAGGTTTCTCCTAGGCGTATAGCCAACACTACATCAAATAATAGCTGTTGATGAATTTTCATAAAATTAATTATTCCCCATTTATACAAACAAATCTTTGCTGTTTTCCTCTTGCATTATCGTTAATCAGGATTATGAAAAGTTATGAATAGTAAGGATTTAATGGCTTGGTGTTTAATAGAATCACCGTATGACCAATGAAGAGGCTCCGTATAGATTACTGAGTTATAAAAATAGTTTCACTTAAGTTGTCAACTGGAGTAAAAAAGATTGATTATTTATCTACGAAGAATTTCATTATGGATAACATTTATTTTGCTAAAGTTTCACATGGTAATACAGTAATATTTACTGATGACGTTTCGGGCACAGTTTATTGCTAATAATCATATCAAGGTACTCACACAACTTTCCAATTTTGTTTATATAATTCCATTATTTTCCATATTTCCGGTATGACTGATGAGCCATTCCGATTGCATGTGCTGGGTGTAGATTCTATAAACAAAGATTCAATAATCAGTCTCTCTCCACCTACCTATATTACTTTTTAGAATTTCGACTTTGTCCCACCCACCCTATTGCGTGATTGTGCGTTAATGCATGCAGTGCAGTGTAGTGCTGAGTTTTTCTTTAAATTACTTATCTTTGCGGGGTCAATCATTCCGCTCTTAGCTAAATTCGTATGTTCTGATAATCTGACTACGTCCGATCTACTAGTTCGACCTATGTAGTTGACCTAACTCACTGTCATTGCAGGGTATTTCGTAAATTATATTATTTTGTCTAATTGGGTCAATAGGGTCCTCAGGTGTCCCTTCCTTATATGGTAAAACTGTAGATGTCTTATATTCTGTCTTATTTGTGTTATAACTATCAGTTTCATTAGTATTTTTATTTTGCTGTTGACCTTTTTTGATCCTCCTAATGAATTTTATAGGATAGTTATTTAACACCATTCCTTACTAGGGTTCCTCCTAAAGCAGGGATTAAGGTGACATTTAAACCTACAAACTCACTCAGGGGCAAGCTCTGTAGGTTAAAGGACCCAGTGGACCCAATTAGATATTATAATAATGTAATTTATAAAACACTTTGCAATGACTGTAAGATCAACTACATAGGGTCGAACTAGTAGATCGGACGTAGTCAGATTATCAGAACATACGAATTTAGCTAAGAGCGGAATGATTGACCCCGCAAAGATAAGTAATTTAAAGAAAAACTCAGCACTACACTGCACTGCATGCATTAACGCACAATCACGCAATAGGGTGGGTGGGACAAAGTCGAAATTCTAAAAAGTAATATAGGTAGGTGGAGAGAGACTGATTATTGAATCTTTGTTTATAGAATCTACACCCAGCACATGCAATCGGAATGGCTCATCAGTCATACCGGAAATATGGAAAATAATGGAATTATATAAACAAAATTGGAAAGTTGTGTGAGTACCTTGATATGATTATTAGCAATAAACTGTGCCCGAAACGTCATCAGTAAATATTACTGTATTACCATGTGAAACTTTAGCAAAATAAATGTTATCCACAATGGAATTATACTCTATCACAGTGCCCAAGAAACCATCAAAACAAAATTCCGCATATCTCTTTATTTAATTCTGCTGCATATTGTAATATTCACAATCTATATAATACCTTGTGTTAAAGTAATATGAAGACATGAAATAATATTAAGGACAGTGATTAAATATATCCTTAATAACACTGTGGTTGTGATGGCTAGTTTTTGTGTCAATTAATCAAAAGTTTTATGTACTCTAGTCGTTCAGACCTACCCCTGGTTAGTTAAAGTAAGGAAGTATCTGTTTCTTTGGACAGATATATCTTGAGATCTATTTCATTCTAGTAAATTTTATGATTGATATTACTTAGCATAGCCTTTTTTTCAATATACCTCTCCTGTGCAGTCTAACTTCCATCATACGTGATACATGCTTTTATCAGTGTTTTCTTTGTGTTATATTTAATAAAATATCTGTTTATAGTGTATAATTTTTCACTGGTTTGGTATATTTTTCCTAGGTTTGATGGTCGTGTTGTAGCTAAATTGCCCTTTGTCCCGTTATCATGGATCCAAGGATTATCGCATCGAAATCTTCCGGGAAATGATTTCACAGATGGTTCTTTCGTTTTCGTGTACATTTTATGCACTATGTCAATTCGACAGGTAATTTTTGTGGTTGTCGTTGTTGTTGTAAATATTAGCCCTTTTTATTGCTGTGTCTCTACTCGGAAATGATTGATTTCATCTAGTAATCGAAAGTTACGACTCATTATTCGATGGACAAGTGTCAAAAATATTATGCATGATATATTTCAAATATCAAAATTAAGAATACTAGAGATTTGTAAAAGTTGTATTTGTAAAATCTCAGCGAAATTGAAATAAGTAATTCCAACGTTTCGCTCAACAATCTGGTCCGAACTTCTTCAGGGAAATTAATCGAAATTAACATGACAGAGGTTTATAAATAAAAAGGACATCTCTTGTTTTTAAAATCTTTGTCCAATCATATGAGCTATAAGTACACTCTGTTTAAAGTGTTTAACAAGAGTAGATCAATACATGTAAGTCTGAGGTCAAATTTTGATCACCACTCATACAATTTTGTTTATTATGTTTTGATGACTGTTTCATGACTCATGGGATTGGACAAAGTTTTTAAAAGACAAGAGATGTCCTTTTTATTTACAAACATCTGTTATGTTAATTTTGATTAATTTCCCTGAAGAAGTTCGGAGCAGTTTGCCGAACGAAACGTTGGAATTACTTATTTCAATTTCGCTGAGATTTTACAAATGTCCACTTCTCACTCGGCGCCCAATTATTTTAGAACTATTCTGTTAAATCTTGACCACAGTTCATATGAGTTAAGAATACTAATTATATAGAATGTTTAATCATTAAAGTATTTCAAAGAAAAATGTCTTAAGCGTAATTGTATTCATTTGTATAGACACAATCAAAGCTAACGCCCTTATCTATATTATTTGCCACGTTACTCTGTAGATGATTCAAAAATGATTTCATTTCCGCATTTATAGTTGTTTTTATTAGCCTATATTATACTTTTAGAATTGGCTATTTCTCGACACAAATTCCCAGTCGTTTTGTTGCTAATAAAACAATTTTCACTTCGCAAGTTCTGGTCTTGTTTAAACTGATTTCTTTTTTTTCCATTGGATTAATAATATTAAACTTTTTAAGTCAGTTTTCGTAAAATTCTAAGTGAATACTCATACAATTGTAGTGTAAAAGTTTCCCCTTCGTGACTTTCAGTTTTACCCCTCCATGGTTTCAAACTTCTCATCAATTTGTAACTAGAAAATATGTCAAAAACATCACTTGTAAATCGGTTTAGGTTGTTCTTCGAATACGGAAAAGTATTTCAAACTTATTACCGGCTTATGTCTAGTCTGTCCAATGTATGGTTCTTATAATCTCGCCTGACAATTTACGTTACTAGTTAGAAATTGTCTCTCATAACGCTACATTAGTGTACGAGTTTATAAGAAGAGTGACAGGTCTTCCCGTGATAATTACAGGGTAATTAACTCGATTATTATGCTATCTAAAGTTCTAGGTTCGATCGTGATGCTCAGATGAAATCCTGTTCGGGAGAAACAAATCCGGGTAAGCCAGGTATGCCTTAGACGAAGAATAGGGTTTATTGATCATATCTTCACTCTGTGACAAATTTAGGAGAAAAGAGTGCTGACCGACGTCCAAAAATCACCATACTTCTTGACCTGGAGATGGAATTCGACTCCATCGACTGCAAGGTGCTCTGGAAATATTTGGTCGTGAAAGAAATACTGAGAATTTTCATTGTACTAATGAAAGCACTCGGACAAAATAACGTAAGCGTGCAAAAGCATAACCACTAGAGTTGTTGTCTGAAATGATGACAACCAGTGATGTCCCTAAGGAATGCTCGCTGTGACCACTGTTGTTCAATTTCATCATAGGTGTTTGGTGATATACCGTGAAATGGTTGATTGTGTTGGTGACTTCGCTTATTTTGGAAATTTTGTCAGACCAGATGCACTGAACCTTCATCTTTTTTCTTTTCTTTTCTTTACTAATGGACTTAACCTTAACTCACTTCAGAGACTCAGGGATTGACTTGCTACCAGGGAATAATTTCGTTGACTTAGAATATGCAGACGATATAGTCCTTCTAGACGAGGACGCTGACAAAATACAGAGTCTTATGAACACCTTGAGCTGCAACCTACGAATGTTTGGCATGCGATTCACTCCCGCCAAATGTAAGATGATGTTACAGGACTGAACTACACTGACTCCTAGTTCAGAAATAGGGAGTGAAGTGGTAGAGCACGTTGACCGCTTCACTTATTTGGGAAGTTGCATCTCTAACAAAATCTGCATCAACCCCAACGGGTTGATCTCCGACGAAATCTCAGTACGAATACAGAGAGCTAGTTTCGCATATGCCAGTTTACGCCGTCTCTGGCGTAGACGTGATATCCGACTATCGACCAAAGGGCGGGTGTACTGTTCAGCAGCCCGCTCTGTTCTCCTTTATGGCCATTGAGAGTGGAAGACATGAAAACATTAGCTGTCTTTGATCATAGGTGTCTGCGTTCTATCTCCCGTGTGAAGTGGTCTAATAAGGTGAGCAATATCGAGGTTAGGCGTTGAGTGCTAGGTAAGGAGGGGAAATCAATCGACGAGGCTGTGAAATCACATCGACTGAGATGGTTAGGACATGTGTTACGTATGCCTAGTCATCGCCTTCCTCGACGGGCAATGTTAGCTGATAATATAGGGTCAGGCTGGAAAAGAGCTAGCGATGGTCAAACCAAAACATGGCTTCATCAGTCAATGAAATCTACAACAGTTAGTCTAAGCCACGTAGGGAGGTGTAGACTTCCTGGTTGGGGTCCTCGGGACGGTAAAACCCAGTGGTTGGAAACAATTGGTGACATGGCTCAAAATCGTTCTCAATGGCGCAGATGCATCCACTCCTTGTGACTTATGATTTCCAATTAAACTGTTTTGTTCTCCGTTATTACTATTCCTTTGTCTCACACCTCTGTTTACTGTCTATACTATGCATTTCTCCTACTTTCTTCTCTTGTTTTGTGTGCTACAAGAAGGGAGTGTGGCGACTTGAACTGCCGCACATCGGTGCAAAGTTTTATGTCGAATACAAGCAGACATCTTTTTTCTTGTTATTTCTGCACTTTTTCTACTTATACTTTTTTGGATCTTTTTTTTTCTTTCGTGGTTTTTGTTTGATATACATAAAGTGTGGCATTTTGGAATGCTATACTTTTGTGCAAGATTCATCTCCATTTCAGCCGACTGGGGTTGTCGATGATGTGCGGTCAGGCATTCACTTCGTCTTGTACTACGTCAGGTTGTTCATTCACTCGGTCCAGCCAACTAGGGAGATATCACCGCGTTACGTATCTGATCCTAATATATGTTACCTGTTTTAGACTAATAAATTGCTTTTCTGGTTCGGCTTTTGAGAATAGTTGTCCGATCTTAGTAGAACAATTACACAATGGGTTTTGTAGTATATTTTCTTGCATTTGCACATGAGCTTCGTCTATGAAATACCCCGCCAAATTTTTTTTATTTTTAAGAAACAAATTGGTTGTCAGGTGGACATACGTTACACGTCGGGAATGAAACTATGCTTTGAGATTTGTTAACTACATAATATTTTAATATCCTCTTTTGTAGAACGTGCAAAAAATACTTGGGTTCGCTCCTGCTCGTTCGTTCAATAAACAGTCTACCGGATTTCCCCAAAGTTAGCTGTGGCGGTAGTCAACAAAAAATGGAACACTTCCTCCACTGTACACTATAATTTATCCGTCTGCAATAAGAGAACTACTTTAATAATTTGACTTTAGCTGTATTTTTATTATTTATATGTAATATTTAATTTAGCCAATTAAACTTGGTATGAGTAATTAAATGTGAAGTTGTGTACTCATTATTTCCTTCTCTCTTCTAATTATAATGATGTTTGCTATCGTTCAAGCCCAATAAAAAAAGGTTAATTAAGCCTGCGTTAATGATACGTTACATAAAGCCAAAACCCAGTGACCTTCAACATAAATGAAAAGCATAATTAATCATCAATGCGAGACGAAGATAAAATACTTAGTCATGGCGATAAAATAAACGAAACTGCTCCACCGTCCTCCCTCATTATTTAAACTGAATCGCATCTTAAATCGCCTACACCCAACTACACAGTACAAAATTCCGAACATAGTAAATAATCCCCTAAAACAATATAACGATCTCGACAACATCAAATATTTATCAACACACAAAACAAAATGCAACTATTTTATTAAGCTAGACGTTTTTATGGAGAAGGAATAAAGATAGTAGTTATATTCATAAAGTTTAGAAACAAACTCATTTAAGCGTCTGTACGACTAGAGTTTCAAACAGGCAGACACAGCTTTTAATTACATATACGATTTGTAGCCTTCCTACTGTTGTAACAACAGAAGCCAAGGTATATTTTTCATTGATCAAACCATTGTTCTTTAGCCAATCACTGAGCGTGCGATTTCAGTTTACATCAAACGAAGTGAAACAGAATGTTCAAATATACCAAGTATTCTGTTGCCAATACGTCAGTGGCACAGTGGTTAGGACTCTCGCCGACCATGCACATGGTCCGGGGTTCGATCCCCTGCCGACGCACACCTGATATCAATGGCCGGCCTGCAAAATTTGGGCTACCGATATCATATGCTGAAAATTCCATACTTGTACCGAAAATACGATGTGGAATCAAGCTGTAATCAAAAAAAAAATCAATGCAGTATATAACTGTGGGAAAAGTATTCTATCTCTAACATCATATAGCATGCTCAAATAGATATATCATATTCTGCTGCTAATGCCGAATTGAACTGTGGGAATATGTGAGAATCACATTTCGTTGGAATACATTGTCTGTATCACACCACCACACTTGTCCCCCCATCTGATACTTTCGACTGAAGTCGTTTCGATCTTCTTGGTGATGGCGGCTTTGTTAGCCTGTCTTGCTGTATCGAGTTCCGGCGCTCGCTAACTTTCACCCGCCTCTTTGTTTGCATTTCTGATCGTATATACGTGACTCCGTCTCAAGGTGACCGTGTATGGTTCTTTCCACTTTGGAAGCAGCTTGAATGACCCTTGCTCGTATCCGCTGGTGTTTCGCCTATCTCTACATTTAACTTGATCTCCGATCTCGAATGTTGGGTACTTTCCCTTTATCCTCTTTTCAGATTTCGCCGCGTTTATCTTCTGCTTTCGTTTTACGTTTTTGGTGGCTTCTCTCTGCTCCGTCCGCCATCTCGTCATACTCCACTGCTGGTGGTGGGGCCAGGTCTTGTTATTTATCGGTAGTGGGAGCTCTGTCTCCCAGTTACCTCCCTTTGTGGCCAACCACTCTTTTAGAGTATGGTTATTTCTCTCCGTCAAGCCGTTCGTTTGTGGCGTTGTTCTAATTTTCTTGACACCTAGCTCTTGCAACCGGACTTTAAACTCTTCACTTTCAAATCACGGACCGTGATCTGTCAGTATCACTTTTGGTGCACCGTGGTTTGTAACAATATGTCGAACCACTGTTTCTGTCACCGTCTTTGCTAGTTGATCGCGACTGCGTTTAGCCATCATGTGGCATGTTCTGTCACTACCAGAAGGTACTGATGGCCATTGGACGTCTGGGTAAAAGGTCCCATTACATCTAAAGACCACAGGTCACCCACTGCTGTCAATGGAATCGACTGCGATGACGATCGTAGTACTGGTCACTCTTAATCAGCTGACATTGCGTACACACTGTTCTCTCTGTTTTCGACATAGAACTTTGCACATATGTGCGGCAGTTCAAGTCGCCACACTCCCTTCTTGTAGCACACAAAGCAAGAGAAGAAAGTAGGAGAAATGCGTAATATAGACAGTAAACAGAGGTATGAAGCAAAAAGAATAGTAATATCAAAGAACAACATAGTTTCATTGGAAATCATAAGTCACAAGGAGTGGATGCATCTGCGCCATTGAGAACGATTTTGAGCCATATCACCAATTGTTTCCAACCATTGGGTTTTACCGTCCCGAGGACCCCAACCAGGAAGTCTACACCTCCCTACGTGGCTTAGACTAACTGTTGTAGATTTCATTGACTGATGAAGCCATGTTTTGGTTTGACCATCGCTAGCTCTTTTCCAGCCTGACCCTATATCAGCTAACATTGACCGTCGAGGAAGGCGATGACTAGGCATACGTAACACATGTCCTAACCATTTCAGTCGATGTGATTTCACAGCCTCGTCGATTGATTTCCCCGCCTTACCTAGCACTCGACGCCTAACCTCGATATTGCTCACCTTATTATACCACTTCACACAGAAGATAGAGCGCAGACACCTATGATCAAAGACAGCTAATCTTTTCATGTCTTCCACTCTCAATGGCCATAAAGGAGAACAGAGCGGGCTGCTGAACAGTACACCCGCCCTTTGGTCGATAGTCGGATATCACGTCTACGCCAGAGACGGCGTAAACTGGCATATGCGAAACTAGCTCTCTGTATTCGTACTGAGATTTCGTCGGAGATCAACCCGTTGGGGTTGATGCAGATTTTGTTAAGATGCAACTTCCCAAATAAGTGAAGCGGTCAACGTGCTCTACCACTTCACTCCCTATTTCTAAACTAGGAGTCAGTGTAGTCCAGTCCTGTAACATCATCTTACATTTGGCGGGAGCGAATCGCATGCCAAACATTCGTAGATTGCAGCTCAAGGTGTTCATAAGACTCTGTATTTTGTCAGCGTCCTCGTCTAGAAGGACTATATCGTCTGCATATTCTAAGTCAACGAAATTATTCCCTGGTAGCAAGTCAATCCCTGAGTCTCTGAAGTGAGTTAAGGTTAAGTCCATTAGTACGTGTATGATGAAGTTGAATAGAAATAGGGATAATGGGCATCCTTGACGGACGCCGCTAGTCGTCACCACTTCAGATGACAACTCGCCGTAAGCCCTCACCTGGCTGCTTGAGTACGAGTATAGTGCCTTAATCAGTGCAATGTATTTTCTCGGAATTCCTGTACTTAAATACCTCTGGAGTCATTCCATCAGATCCCGCTGCTTTGCCTGGTTTCAGATTAGTGACAGCTTTAGTAACCTCAGTTAAGGACGGAGGATCTGTGTCTATATCCCATTCAGGGAGGTGTTGGATGTTCGGCAGGTTAAGTGTGGCTGAAGGCCAATTAAACTGCTCCTCATAGTGCTCTTTCCAGTCGTCTATCCTGAGAACTAATAGTGGTGCCACTTTTATGTTAATTATGTTACGTACTTCTCGATGTCTTCTCTCATACCTGGCCAGTACATGCTTGGCGCAGGAGATTGTTCGTTCTGTCAACACTTGTGTGTACTAATTTGTGACATTCTGGTATCATCTCTTGGCACAGGCATTGGGGTATTACTGCTAAGCAGCTTCCGTCATCCTCCTGCAACGTCAACATTCCGCAGGCATTCAAGCTTAGCCGGTCTTTCTGTTTGAGTAGGAGATTTAACTCACGATTCTCTGTGGGGCGATTCACCTATTTTTTGCGTTATCACCTGTATGACAGTTTGCAAAGTGTCTTCCGATTTTTGACTCCAGACAATTCTTGCTCTAAGGCGTTTACACCATATGCTATTTCAGGTAACTCTAGCTCTTCTGTTCTAGATAAAATATCCGGTAACACGTTCTCTTCCCCTGGAACATGAGATATCGTGAAATCATACTCTTGGAGGCGCAACATCCACCGTGACAACTTCCCACGTGGGTCTTTGGTGGTTCTCAGCTACTGCAACGGCTTACGATCAGTCTCTACGTGGAAGCCTTGACCAAGTAAATAAGATCTCCATTTGTCTAACGCCCACACAATCGCCAATCTCCTAGGAATAACTACGTGGAGAATAACATGAATTCTATAGAACTGGGAGTTCATACAGACTGAATTCATCTACACGATTGAGAATTATTTTGAGCCATGCTACTAACAGTGCCGAGTTATTAGTTATTAGCGTTTCGAAGACGTCAGACAGACAGTCCCCTCATCCCTACGTAAATCGAACCAACAGTCAAAGACTTCACGGACTGGTTCCATGTTTTGATTTCACCATTCCCAACTCTATTCCAGCCTAATCATATACCGGCTGACACTGATAACAGTAGAAGCCGATGGCTTGTCATACGTAACAACACTTTCCTAGCCATCTCAATCATTCCAGCTTCACAACCTCATGATCGATGGACTTCCCCTACCCACCTAACACTACGCCTAACCTCGATATTACTCATCCTACTATATCATCTAACATGGGAGGTAGAACGCAAACACCCATAGCCAAAACAGCTAGTCTTTTCAAATCTTCCACTTCAACGACCACATCTGATAGTCATAAAGAAGGATGGAGCCGAGCGCTGTGCAGGACACGTGTGCTTTGATCGACAGGCGAATATCACGTCTACACTAGAGATGGAATATTTGGCAAATATGACATCAGCCTTTCATAATTAAGCTGGAATTTCGCCAATAATCAGTCGATTAAGGCTGACACAAATTCCCAAATAAGTGAAGTCATCAACACGCCCATCCATTTCATTAAACTAACTGGGAGTCAGTTAAGGCCACTCCTCCAGATTCCTCTCACATTTGACACGGGCGAATCCCGTCTCAAACATACGAAGATCTCTGATAAAGGCGTTCATAAGACTGCATTTTTCCGTCTTCACCTAGAACGATGATATCATCTGTATGCCCTAAATCAGCGACACTTCCGCGTCAACACGTTAGTCTCTGTGTCGACCAAGTCAAACGTGTAATGACATTAAATAAAACAGGAGACACTGGACACCCATGGCTCTGGTTAAGCTATCTCACGATGACTTTTGTGTTTCTCCACTAGTGGGATAAACGTTCCCTATCCTTCTTTCATGGCGAGACATTTCCAGAGCACCTTGCAGTTGGTGGAGTCGAATTCCATCTTTAGGTCAAGAAGTATGGTTTATTTTTTTTTTAAGGTGCCCCGTTTCTCGGAAAACGCCTTGCTTATATTTGCCTTTTGCAAC